CTGGAAGTTCTAGCCAGAGCAATCAGGCAAGAAAAAGAAATAAAGGGTATTCAAATAGGAAAGGTGGAAGCCAAATTGTCTCTATTTGCAGATGACATGATAGGATATCTAGAAGACCCCATCGCCTCAGCCCAAAAACTCCTGAAACTGATAAGCAACTTCAGCAAAGTCACAGGATATAAAATCAATGTGCAAAAATCACAAGCATTCGTCTACACCAATAACAGATTTAAAGAAAGCCAAATCAAGAACAAACTGACATTCACAATTGCTACAAAAACAATAAAATACCTTGGAATACAACTCACAAGGAACGTAAGGGACCTCTTCAAGGAGAGCTACAAACCACTGCTCAACGAAATCAGAGAGGACACAAACAGATGGAGAAACATTCCATGTTCATGGTTAGGAAGAATTAATATCATGAAAATGGCTATACTGCCCAAAGTAATTTACAGAATCAACGCTATCCCCATCAAGCTACCATTGACTTTCTTCATAGAACTGAAAAAAACCACCATGAACTTCATATGGAACCAAAAGAGAGCCCACATAGCCAAGTCAATTCTAAGCAAAAAGAACACAGCGGGGGGCATCACACTACTGGATTTCAAACTATACTACAAGCCTACAGTAATCAAAACAGCATGGTACTGGTACCAAAACAGAGATATAGACCAATGGAACAAAACAGAGGCACCGGAGGCAACACAACATATCTACAACTATACAATCTTTGATAAACCTGACAAAAACAAGCAATGGGGTAAGGATTTCCTGTTTAACAAATGGTGTTGGGAAAACTGGCTAGCCATGTGCAGAAAGCAGAAACTGGACCCCTTCCTGACACCTTACACTAAAATTAACTCCAGATGGATTAAAGACTTAAACATAAGACCTGGCACGATAAAAACCCTAGAAGGAAATCTAGGCAAAACTACCCAGGACATAGGAGTAGGCAAGGACTTCATGACCAAAACACCAAAAGCATTGGCAACAAAAGCCAAAATAGACAAATGGGACCTAATCAAACTCCACAGCTTCTGCACGGCAAAAGAAACAGTCACTAGAGTGGATCGGCAACCAACAGAATGGGAAAACATTTTTGCAGTCTACCCATCTGACAAAGGGCTGATATCCAGAATTTACAAAGAACTCAAACAGATTTACAGGAAAAAAAACAAACAAGCCCATTCAAAAGTGGGCAAAGGATATGAACAGACACTTTACGAAAGAAGACATATATGAGGCCAACAATCATATGAAAAAATGCTCATGGTCACTGGTCATCAGAGAGATGCAAATCAAAACCACATTGAGATACCATCTCACGCCAGTTAGAATGGCGATCATTAAAATTCTGGAGACAACAGATGCTGGAGAGGATGTGGAGAAAAAGGAACACTTTTACACTGTTGGTGGGAGTGTAAATTAGTTCAACCATTGTGGAAGACAGTGTGGCGATTCCTCAAGGCCTTAGAAATAGAAATTCCATTTGACCCAGCAATCCCATTACTGGGTATATATCCAAAGGACTATAAATCGTTTTACTATAAGGACACATGTACACGAATGTTCATTGCAGCACTGTTTACAATAGCAAAGACCTGGAATCAACCCAAACGCCCATTGATAATAGACTGGATTGGGAAAATTTGGCACATATACACCATGGAATATTATGCAGCAATCAGAAATGATTAGTTTGTGTCATTTGTAGGGACATGGATGAATCTGGAGAACATCATCCTCAGCAAACTGACACAAGAACAGAAAATGAAATACCGCTTATTCTCACTCATAGGCGGGTGATGAAAAATGAGAACACATGGACACAGGGAGGGGAGTACTAAACACTGGGGTGGATTGGGGGGAAAAGGGGAGGGCCAGTGGGAGGGGGAGGTGGGGAGGGATAGCCTGGGGAGAAATGCCAAATGTGGGTGAAGGGGAGAAAGGAAGCAAAACACACTGCCATGTGTGTACCTACGCAACTGTCTTGCATGTTCTGCTCATGTACCCCAAAACCTAAAAAGCAATAAAAAAAATTAAAAAATAAAAAAAACATAAAAATAAAATTGTGTTGGTGTCCTGGTGCATACCTGTAGTCCCAGCTACTCAGAAGGCTGAGATGGGAGGACTGCTTGAGCACAGAAGTTTGAGACAATAGCAAGCTGTAATTGCGCTGCTACACACCAGACTGAGAAATACAGCAAAACCCAGTCAAAAACAATTAAAAAACCACTCACAGAGAGCTCATAAACTTCAGTGTCTCTAGTTTGAGAAATCCCACCACAAAGTACTCTCAAGAAGGCAGGCAATCTGACTGCATCTCTATAATTTGATGGGCAACTCTATTCCAGTCTCTGCCAAAGAGAAACCACGGAGCATCCCCTCCTTCCAGTAACAGCAAAAGGTCTATAAGCACCATCTGTATTCTCCTGATGATCCAACACTTCCTACCATGTACCTGGTTCTTCCAGGCATCTTGAAGTAGGGAGTCCAGCTGGTCTGTGTCCTATTTTGATAGTGACTACTGGGGATAGGAAGGATAGGGAGATATTTGGCTACAATAAATCTGTTCTGATGGTACCAGGTGCCACATGCTGGCTTGGGAAGCCTTAGAGGGTAGAAGGCTTTTTTGTGGGGGTTATTTTGCCAACAGCAAATTCCCAGCATCATATTCAGCTAAGAGTCCCAAACCTAAAGCGTTGCTGCTCTGAACAAACAGCGGAGCCCCTACACAAACTTCCCAGGGTGAAAGCTGGCCCAGAGCATTGCTTCAGGATTGGTTCAAACAAGAGAAGATTTCGGCCTGTCTTTTGTAAATACTCCCTCAAATTATGGTTTGCAAATTGAGGTTTGATGCATTGGTTTTCCAAATATGTACAACAGACACAGCAAAACTGAGTTGACAATGCACACAGCTTTAAGACTATAACTAACAGATATCTGATATTTAAGACTTCCATTATGACACTGAATATATTGCAGTAGAGAGGCCAAGACATAGTCCAGCACATCAGCTTCTGGCTTAAAATTCCCTCAAAATAAAGCACCCTTAACCTAGATCTTTATCAGCAGTGCTGAGAGTGAAGCCTGGACCCTAAAATAGAGTGAGGCTAACTCACTCTCAGGGTGTCTGAAACCTGATCATGGCCTTGTGGACATTTTACACTAACTCCTGGATAAGCAATCTCTTTAAGGAACTCCCAGTAAAGATAAATAGTATCCAACCAGCATTTCCTTTTGCTAATGAGAAGCAATGAGGCCAATGACGGCAAGTCAAAGGTGATGTACATGGTAAAGGTAGCAAATGAATGGCTGCCACCGGGGCAATAGGTTTGCTTTTTTAAGTGTATCTAAAGTGATCATATTTCCTGATTTTCCCTGTATTTAAAGCAATCATATAGATGTCAAGTGAGCATATTTTCCAATTTTCCGACCTGTTATCTCAGTACAATTATTATTCTTTTTTTTTTTTTTTCTTTTCTTTAGACAGAGTCTCACTCTTGTCAATCAGGCTGGAGTGCAGTGGTGCAGTCTCGGCTCACTGCAATCCCTGCCTCCCAGGTTCAAGAGATTCTCCGGCCTCAGCCTTGGGAGTAGCTGAGACTACAGGCACACACCACCATGCCTGGCTAATTTTTGTATTATTAGTAGAGATGGGTTTTACCATGTTAGCCAGGTTGGTCTCGAACTCCTGACCTTAAGTGATCTGCCCACCTTGGACTCCCAGAATGCCGAGATTACAGGCATGAACCACCACACCCAGCCACTACAATTATTAATCATGCCATTGGCACTCTTGAAAATGTCCTAGATTTTACTGTAAGTTGTATGATCACACTACCTATGGCACCATCCAATATTATTTTATGCTCCACTTCTCTTTTTATACTTCCTCTCCCTCATTCCCTGGGATTCCCACATCTTCATTTTTGCCCATTGTCTACCTTTCCCTGTTTTCCAAGTGTTTCATGCTCCAATACTACCCCCAATTCAATATTTACCTCCCATAACACTATTCATTCAACTCAGATAATCTTGGTGTATTCGTTCATTTTTCACACTCCTGAAAAAAATATACCCGAGACTGAGTTATTTATAAAGAAAAAGAAGTTTAACGGACTCATAGTTCCACATGGCTGGGGAGGTCTCACAATCGCGGTGGAAGGTGAAAGGTATGTCCTACATAACAGCAAACAAGAGACAGCTTGTGCGGGAAAACGCCCCCTTGTAAAACCAGAGATCTCACGAGACTCATTCACTATCACAGAATGACATAGAGAAAGACCCACCCACATGATTCAGTTACCTCCAACCAGGTTCCTCCCATGACGTGGGAATTGTGGGAGCTACAATTCAAGAAGAGATCTGGTTGGAGACACAGTCAAACCATATCACTTGGTAAATGATCAAAAGCAAAAAAGCAATCTTAACGTCTTATTTTAAGTAGCCTATACTTCTGCAATGATTTTATAAAACATTTATAACTATGGAAGGGAGACAGTTTTCTAATGCTTCTTGCAAAATCTCTGCCCTTTATCAAAGTAAGGTGCAATCGTGTTAATTATGTAATCACTCCTGTCTGAGTTATTTTTGTGAGTGCTATTATATATACTTGTTCAGTTATATAATAGGGATTGCTGACTTGGCATCCTTTATTCTGAAAGTTTGCCAACACAAAAAGAAGTACAGGAAAAGACACTGTAAAGCAATCCAGAGAAACAGGACTACAAGTGGTTGGGATACTCTTTGCTACACATTTTCCAAATGGCCAGTAATGAGTCTATATTACTTTCATATTACTTTTACCATCTGAGAAAAAAAATGAACACAATAGAAGAGAATCATACACAATAAATTAATAAAGGTCACTTAGATTATAATTATTTTTATCCATCTAAAAAGCTGAAAGCTTGATTTAAGATTAGATAATAGTTGACTGGTTATAAATCTATGTATTTATATCACAGATACATTAAATATTGCTTTTTTTCAAGTTGAAAAACCGTTTATTTCACTAGAAAGAAAAAAGTGATCCAACTCTATAGGTCTAGCTTTTGGACCAAAAAGAGACCCAGGGGCAGTGAGACTGTCACCAAGGTCATTCCCAAATCCAACAGCTACAGGAGGTAGGAGGCAGGGAAGAGACAGCACAGCCCCCACCACAATTTCGGCACACAATGAGGCCTGCTGGGAGAACAGAACATGAATGGGAAGCTACAGAAGTATTCAAGGACAGAAGAACAGAAAAATGGGCAGGAAAGGAAAGGAAAAGAAGAAAAGGTCTGAACTTAGCAAGGTAAGATAAGGTCCACGGTTCCCCAGGGACTGAACGCACAGAGCCAAGAAGGTCCTGGAGATGGGGTACCACCAAGAGTGTATTCTCGTGCACAACTGCAGCTCGGAATTTCAGCCCACACACATCCGACCTGGAAACTCTGTGTTATCAAGGCCCCTGATGACCTCCACTGCATCCTCTGCCCGCTCCATGTGCACGAAAGCATAATCTTTCACGATGTCACATTTGGTGACCGGACCATACTCCTGAAACTTGGCTGGAAGCTTCTATTGGTTCAGGAGGGACTGATGTTGGCCACATGCGACTCTGTTGAGGTTTTGCTCTTTTTCTTGCTGGCTTCCACGTTGATGTTCATCCCATGAAGCGTGTAATGGTGCAGGCTGCGCATGGCACCTCCCATTGCAGTTTTGTCTTCTATGTGCACAAAGCCGCAATTCTTAATGATGTCACATTCCAGCACTTTCCCATACTGCTCTAAAATAGAGCACTTCTCCTGCTCTGAGGCCTCCTGGGGCAGATTTCCGATGAACACCTTCACCCTCCTGACAAGAGCGCACACAGAAATCAGCAGGGCCTCCTCCCGGCGCAGACACATCTGACAAAACGTTAAAATGGCGGCGGCCAAATACTGTTTTTTTTAATGATTAAAGAGTTGAAGTGGCTGGGCATGGTGGCTTTAGCCTGTAATCTCAGCACTTTGGGAGGCTGAGGCAGGCGGATCATTTGAGGTCAGGTGTTCAAGACCAGCTTGGCCAACATGGTGAAACCCTGTCTCTACTAAAAATACAAAAACTAGCCAGGCCTGGTAGCTCATGCCAGTAATCCCAGCTACTCAGGAGGCTGAGGCAGGAGAATCACTTGAACCCAGGAGGCAGAGGTTGCAGAGAGCTGTGTTCGCACCACTGCACTCCAGCCTGGGCAACACAGGGAGACTCAGTCTCAAGAAATAAATAAATAAAAAGAGTTGACATGAATCATCACACTCGCAATCCAGCTTTGCAAAAACTGCCTGTCTTTTACTCGTTAGCCTTACTGACAATGTAAAGCCACCATGCTCCCAGTGTGAAGCCCTGTATTAATGCTGTCAGAGAGAAAATGGGTGCTGCTTCTCTGCAAAACCTACTCTAAGCACCTGAATTTTTATTGCAATTGTCAGTTGAAGGCTAAAAGATAGCTAAAAACAATGCTCAGCGTGTTATTTTAATGCAATATAATACAAAGACAATAGGATTTGTTCATAATAACTGGCTAAATATTAAGAATACAATAAACCACCTGTGTGGATTCTGTTTTTAATGTCAACCCCCTCCCACCACTCCCTGTACTAAGGAATTATAAGAACCTTTAGCTAGACATAGCTAGGAAAATTATTTATGATTTGATCCGATTAAACTCCTCTTCCTTTGTCATCCTGGGCCTGAATTATTTGCTGACTCTCTTTTTGCTCCAATAATAATTCATATTCCATAACAGTAAATGGCCTTTCTCGTATGGAAGCTTTACTCTTACAAAAATTCTGTCTCCCTTTCTGTAATTGCTCAAGGTTTATACTTTAAGTGAAAGGCTTTACCAACTGTGTTTCTATTGCTATAGCTATTGCAGTTTTTCTTTCACCTCATAACTCTGTGCAATGTTGAAATTTTAAACAGTATGGTTTCTGCCAATGTATGAGTTTTCTCACCTCTACCCTGCACTGGGGCGTGGGGTTGGGGTAGAAACAGCCAGGAAAAGTTCTATATAGTTTTGTTCTTTAAAGAGCAAAATGCATAACTTTCATTGAATACTAGATGAAAAATTCCCCCCTGGTGCTTTTACTGTAATACTTCTGTATCATATTACAAGAAAACCTCAACCTAGTTTTGCTGTTTAACTACTTCATGTCCACTAGGTCTACTATAGTTCAGTTACCACAGAGCCTAGAATTCTGAAAAGCCATCTACAAATCAGAAACTTGAGAAACGGCTGAGGTCACTCAAGATGTAGGGCTCATAAATGAAGTAACATGGCTACTGCTGATGAAGGCATAGATATAGCCAGAAAATAAGAACATGGAGCCAGGCGTGGTAGTCCTACCTGCTTGGAAGGCTGAGGTGGGAGGATTACTTGAGACCAGGAGTTTGAGGCCAGCTTGCACAACATAGCAAGATTCTGTCTCAAAAAAAAAAACACAAATATATATATATATGTGTGTGTGTGTGTGTGTGTGTGTGTATGAATATTAAGAGAGTGAACACTGATGAAACATGCAATTTTATACCACTGTCTACAACATGATTACAGGAAAACATATACAAGAGCAACATTTTTTTGTGGGAGAAATGGGCAGCTGTTTCAGGTATTCCACATAATAGGGGCACTTAGAATAAAAAGATATTGAGGGCTGGGTGCAGTGTCGCACAACTGTAATCCCAGCAGTTTGGGAGGTCGAGGTGGGCAGATTACTTGAGGTCAGCAGTTTGAGACCAGCCTGGCCAACATGGTAAAACCCCATCTCTACTAAAAATGCAAAATTAGCTGGGTGTGGTGGCACACGTAATCTCAGCTACTCAGAAGGCTGAGGCAGGAAAATTGCTTGAACCCAGGAGGCAAAAGTTGCAGGGAGCTAAGATTGTGCCTTTGCACTCCAGCCTGGGCAACAGAGGGAGACTCCAACTCAAAAAAAAAATTATTGAAAATTATTTTAAAAGAATGATATCTATCCAGCTTTTTAAACAATGTCTATATTGAAATTATCAGACACCATTACTGTCTGTAATATATTAAAATAGGTTTTTTTAGCTAGGCACGGTGGCTCACACATATAATCTTAGTGTTGTAGGAGGCCAATGCAGGAGGATCACTTGAGCCCAGGTGTCCAAGACCAGCCTGGGCAACAAAGCAAGACCCTGTCTCTACAAAAACTTTAAAAATGTAGCCAAGCATAGTGGTGTTTGCCTGTGTTCCAACTATCTAGGAGGCCGAGGCAGGAGGATCCCTTAAGCCCAATAGTTCCAGGCGGCAGTGAGCTGTGGTTGCACCACTGCACTCCAGCCTGGGTAAGAGAGTAAGACCCTGTCTCCAAATTAATTAATTAATTTTAAAAATAGCTTTTGGCCAGGCATGGTGACTCATGTCTATAATCCCACACTTTGAGAGGCTGAGGCTGGCAGATCAGTTTAAGCCAGGAGTTCAAGACCAGCCAGGGCAATATGGTGAAACCCCATCTCTACCAAAAATACAAAAAGTAGTGGGGTATGGTGGCAAGTGCCTGTGGTTCCAGCTACCCAGGGAGGCTAAAACAGGAGGATTACTAGAGCCCAGGAGGCGGAGGTTGCAGTGAGCTGAGATCGTGCCACTGAACCCCAGTCTGGGTGACAGAACGAGAACCTGTCTCAAAACTAAATAAATAAATAAAATAACAAAAAAAAAAGCTTTCTTTAATTAAGGGATAACATACATTTAATAAAATATATTTGATGTACTAATCTTGATGTACAGTATAATCTTTTCACATATATATGTACATATGTGATACATATACACATATTTCATGTATATGTAACTGCAACCCAGATAAAGACATAGAAGATTTTTTGCAACCCAAAAAGGCCCCTTGTTTCCAGTTTTAGTCTAATACTACACTGCAGATTAAAAGTAGCTGATTTTTACAGATAAAATACTTTGAAGATTACTCACACTAATTTTACTAGAAAGTGCATTTAGTTGTGAATAGGCCCCATAAAACAGAGATTTACATGGAATACTATGCAGCCATAAAAAAGACAAAATCATGTCCTCCTTTGCAGCAACATAGATGGAGCTGGAGGCCTTATCCCAAGTGAACAAACTCAGAAAATCAAATATCGCATATTCTTACTTACAAGTGGAGCTAAAACAATGGATATGCATGGACATAAAGATGGCATAATAGACACTGGGAACTACAAAAAGACGGGAGGCTGGGATGCAGTGAGTTTGAAAAATTACCTACTGGGTACAATGTTCACTGTTTGGGTAATGGGTACACTAGAAGCCCAATCTCCATTATTATGCAACATGCCCATGTAACAAACATGAACATATGCCCCCTAAATCTAAAATAAATAGGCTGGGTGCAGTGACTCACACCTGTAATCCTAGCACTTTGGGAGGCCAAGGAAGGCAGATCACTTGAGGCCAGGAGTTTGAGACCAGCCAGGCCAACATGGTGAAACCCCGTCTCCACTAAAAATACAAAAATTATAGCCAGGCATAGTGGCACGCACCTGTAATCTCAGTTACTTGGGAGACTGAGGCACAAGAATCACTTAAACCTAGAAGGTGGAGGTTGCAGGGAGCCAAGATCATGCACCACTGCACTCCAGCCTGGGCAGTGGTGACCTGTCTCAAAAATAAAATAAGATAAAATAAAAATAACAAAGGTTTAAACAAAGTAGCTGTTTTCTTTCTCTCTCATGTAAAAAGCGGGTGTAGAGGCAGGCCCTCAGTGGCTGCTGTGAAGGCGCCACAGAACCCAGCTTTCTTCTTTCTGTTCAGCTACCCTTAGCACTAAAGAGCTCCCTTTGGTTAACACAGTGGAGCAATGGACTCCACCCAGGTGTGGTGACAATCTTCCATGCCTGAAGAAGGGCAAAGGTAAGAAGCACAAGGTAGCAGCCACTGAGTCAACACCCTATAAATGTTTTATTGGAAGCCCAACCATTGGTTTCTGCTACATCTCACTGGTTAAAACAGTGTCATGCAAAACAGTTTTGGGTGGCAACCCCAAAATAAAATAGGATTTTATGAATAAGAAACGCAGGAGGGATGTTGGCTAGTTAATGAATAGCCTCTGCCACACAAGTGGCCACCAACTACTCACGTGAATGACCTCTCCTGAAAATGCCATGTGGCATGATTTTAGATTGCAATGGATCAAAGCAGTCTAAAATCATGGTACAACAGGGAGTGAGTTCTGAAATAAACTCTCTTAATATCTTGGTTAAAGACATTCAAGGGGTCCAAAGTGGCTCCCACCGGAGGTCATGGTGCTCGCAAAGGCGAGGTCATCAGTTCAAGGCTAACCTCATAAGCTCAAACTGATTGGCAAAAAAAAAAAAAAAGACATTCAAACATTTGGAAATAAAAAGTCTGGTGAAGTACTGCTTTAAAATATGATGGCAAAAAAAATTTTTAACTTTTCACTATTCTTAAGGGGAAAAATATAGGGAAAATCATAAAGAGTCAAATTAATAGCAGGCTGGGCATGGTGGCTCACACCTTAATCCCAACACTTTGGGAGGCCGAGGTGGGTAGATCACGAGGTCAGGAGTTTGAAACCAGCCTGGCCAACATGGTGAAACCCTGTCTCTACTAAAAACACAAAAATTAACTGGGCAAGATGGTGCACACCTGTAATCCCAGCTACTCCAGAGGCTGTGGCAGGAGAATCACTTGAACCTGGGAGGCGAAGTTTGCAGTAAGCCAAGATCACACCATTGCACTCCAGCCTGGGCAATAGAGTGAGACTCCATTTCAAAAAAAAAAATTAAAAGCATTTGCACAAGACTGCACAAAAGTTAATAATATTCTATGCATTCATTTATTAGGACCCACAAATGGAAATCTATTTCCAAATTGTAACTATTTCTAATCATTAGGATTATGAGTTTTGATTTAAACTAAGAATAATATTTTAACTATCTGAATGCAACAAAAATCTACAGCTCCACAATTTTATATCCACAGTTATGAATTCACAAAACTTTTGAAAACTGAAAGCTTTTTTGCAAATTGCAGCATCCTCTCTGGTGGCAAAAGCTGACCTGATGCCAGGCATGGTGGCTCATGCCTGTAATCCTAGCACTTTCTGAGGCAGAGGTAGGCGAATCACTTGAGCCCAAGAGTTCAAAACCAGCCTGGGCAACATGTGGAAACCTTGTCTCTATAAAAAATACAAAAATTAGCCAGGCACGGTGGCACGCCTATAGTCTGAGCTATTTGGGAAGCGGAGATGAGAGGATCACCTGAGCCCAGGAGGTCAAGGCTGCAGTGAGCGGTGATTATGCCACTGCACTCCAGCTTGGGTGACAGAGTAAGACACTGCCTCAAAAAAAAAAAAAAACCAGACCCAAACTGATGTGGGGCTTCTTATACTCTTTACTCCATTTAGTGTGATTGTAACCTTTGGTGCAGACATATTAGTGTCTTTAATTATAGCATGCTGCATGTTATTTTTTTAACTCAGAAAATTAATCTGAACTCCAAAACAGATCTATCTGTTTACTATCTGTATAGTCTTTACCTTATAGTTCTGCAAGGTAAAGATTTTACAAACTATGCTACCTAATTAGCTCACAATTTGATTTGTTTGGGGATTCCTGTTACCATCAAAGCTCATTCAAGGGATTACACATCATTGATTTGACCTAACTGCTTTTGTAATTTTTTAAGTCTTGGATTTAAGAAACTGAATATGTTATTTCTGCCCATGTGCCTGTAGGATTTTGGTTTGCTAACAACCAGTTACTAAATTGAAAAATAATAACTTTTTAAATTCCAATTATATCACATTCTAACTTTAATAATGTTTTGCCTCATTTTTTTTTCTTTTTTCTTTTTTCTATTTTTTTTTTTTTTTTTTCAGACAGAGTCTCATTCTGTTGTCCAGGCTGGAGTTCAGTGGCATGATCTTGGCTCACTGCAACCTCTGTCTCCTGGGTTCAAGCAGTTCTCCTACCTCAGCCTCCCAAGTAGCTGGGATTACAGGTGCCCACCACCACACCTGGCTAATTTTTGTATTTTTAGTAGATACGAAGTTTCACCATGTTGACCAAGCTGGTCTTGAAATCTTGACCTCAGATGATCTGCCCACCTCAGCCTCCCAAAGTGCTGGGATTACAGGCATGAGCCACTGCCCCCAGCAGCATTTGTTAAAAATAATAAAAATAATTTTAAAAAAAGATGAGCTCTGTTCAACTGGTATAAAATGTAGTATTTTTTGAATCAAAAATATCAAAATCACCACCATTAGAGAAAACTGAGACAAACAGTTGCCTGAATTCCTTCTTTTCATTTTGTTTATAGTTTGTATGATCTTAGATATTTGTATCTTATTCATATTTATTTATGAACCGAGTCATAATCAATGGCTGTAACTATGTGGATGAAATACAGATTTTTAAAAATATAATACCAAAACCCTGTGATATAGGTAAATAAAGTCAAGATTAGCACTGAGGGTTTTTTTCCCTCTACCTTCTCTGCACCTTATCATTATCAAAACCTCTAAAATCTCAAAGTCCAACGTTCTCTATCTTAAATATGGAATTCCTTTCTGTGTCCGGCAGTCCTCTGCAGGATCTCTCTGCAGTCTCCATTTCTGACTTCATCTGATGCCATTTGCTCTTTCTTTTGATGTGCTGCAACCACGCTGGCCTCATTTCCCTTCCTAGAATGTGCCAAGCTCCATTCTGCCTCAGGGCCTTAGCACATGCTGTAGCCTCTTCCTAGACTGCTACTTCTCTGATATTTTTCAAATGTGTCTCCTTGTCATCCTTCAAGCCTATCTTAAATGCCACTCCTTTAGAGACAACTTTCTTACCATCTTGTTTATTTATTTCCTTCCCTGTTATTCTCTAACACTGCACTGTTTGGTTGGTTGGTTGGTTGTCGAGAAGAAGTGCAGCATGCTGGATTGGCACCCCTAACCCCCACGTACTTCAAGGATCAACCGTATTTGTTCACCTGCTATTTATCTGTCTCTCCACTAGATTATGAACTCCATGAAGGAGGAAATAAACTATCTACTTCTTCACTAATACATATGTAGCACCAAGCATCATGCACTCTCTCACACAGGCTGGAGTGCAGTGGCGTGATCTCGGCTCACTGTAACCTCCACTTCCCGAATTCAAGTTATTCTCCTGCCTCAGCCTCCCAAGTAGCCTGGATTATAGGCACCCACCACCATACCCAGTTAATTTTTTTTTTTTTTTTTTTTTTTTGGTATTTTTAGTAGAGATGGAGTTTTACCATGTTTGGCCAGGCTGGTCTCAGACTCCTGACCTCAAGTGATCCACCTGCCTTGGCCTCCCAAAGTGCTGGGATTACAGGCGTGAACCACCATGCCCAGCCCTGTTTGGTTTTTTAATAGCACTTACAGTAATGTGCAATAATATACACTTGACCCTTGAACAACACAGGTTTGAGCTGTACATGTTCACTTATACACAGATTTTGTTTCAATAAAAGTTACACAGAGTGTTCCTGCCTCTTCTACTTCCCCTTCCACCTCTGCTGGCCCTGCCACTCCTGAGACAGGAAGAGCAAACCCTCCTGTTTCTCCTCCTCAGATGCTCAGTGTGAGGACAATGAGGATTAAAGACCTTTATGATGATCCACTTCCGCTCAATGAATAGTAAATATATTTTCTCTTCCTTATACTTAGTAACATTTTCTTTTCTCTAGTATACTTTATTGTACAAATAAATATAGAGTATGTACAACACACAAAATATGTGTTAATTGATTATGTTATTGGTAAGGTCAATAGTAGTTTATTAGTAGTTCAGTTTTGGGGAAGTTAAAAGTTACACAGAATTTTTGACAGCATGCAGGATTGGCACCCCTAACCCCCACGTACTTCAAGGATCAACTGTATTTGTTCACCTGTTATTTATCTGTCTCTCCACTAGATTATGAACTCCATGAAGGAGGAAATAAACTATCTACTTCTTCACTAACACATATGTAGCACCAAGCATCATGCCTGGCACATTCATGCCTGGCACTTGAGAACTAAGTTCTCAAGAACTGTTTGAATAAACACCACAAGAATTATTTCTTACGTATTTCTGTGATAATCTTTCCCCCAAAAATTTCATTCTACATATTATCTTTACTAAAACAAAAACCAAAAATCCCTCAAATTGTGTATATCATGAATATGGTCTCAAAAACTCCAAAGAAAATTATCCCATAGAAAAGTAGGTAATCAGAATTATGTGTATCTTACAAAGGGCACAGAACATTCTAATCTATAGATTAAAAAGTATATGAAGGTGTATATACACATATGGATGTGCATATCTAGATATTTTCTTTACCATGGCTGTTCATTAAATATATGTGATCCCAAGTCTACTCAGATTGTCTACTTCACTTGACAGTAGAAAGGCAGGAGATGCAGCCAGAGAGGGGGGATCTAGCTCAAATGCTATCTAAATTAGCCCAGGCCCATGGCGGTAGGTGATCTATGTAGTGAAAGTTCAAGGAGGTCTCACGAAAAACATAGTGAGTTCTACCTCCTGGCTTATCATGGACAGGCTCTGTTTATTCCAGCTGTCCTATAATTAACCCCTTTTACTCTCAAAGTATCCTGTGTTAGATGATAAATTATTAATAGTCACCCTAGCTATATTTCTATATAAATATCTATATTTCTAAGAATGTTACCTATTAAATGCCAGGCAGGGATACCAGACCAACGTGTGTGTGTGCACGTGTGTGTGTGGGGAGGTGTCTGTAGGAGGGGAAGAGGTTGTGAAGAATGTACATAATTCCCCACCCCTTTCTTCATCCAATTCCTTTAAACCCTATTCTCTCCTTGCTTCGTTAGAAAATTTAGTGGGCAAAGAATTTGTACTGACTTTAACACATGGATGCAGTATTTGACACACTAGGATCTTTGTCAACTTTTCTGACTTTACATTTGCAAGCGTAGTGTTGCATTCATTTAACGTTCATTTTTTTAAGTCTTAGACTTTATTTAAAAGCCCAGTTGCAATATACCTGACTCAGCTCACAACTGGAGACCGAGCATCAAATTTCCCAGCCCACTTTATTTGAAAGCCTGCCAAGATAGGTGAAAGACCTTATAAATATGTAAAGCAGGAAGTTCAAATTACAGTCAAGTAAATCTCTAGTGATTGATGTTCTTTTCAAAACAGTTTTTAAAAACTAATAATAAGCAGCACATTTCTAAGACCCTCTTACGAAAGGCTTCCCCCGAATGTAGACTCAATGGTATACTTTCAGTACTGTATTTATTTTGGATTTTTACCACTTCCTGGAGGCCAGGAGGAGGCACGGTGGGAGGATCCTAAAAAACTCAGTACCACAGCCATTTTGTTTGTAAGGCAGAGTGGTAGAATTCTGTCAGCCAGTAAAGGTTTTTGAAACACAGTTTTTAAGGGAGGCGGGGAGGGGGGCGGGAATATGCCTATTGTTTTCATTTAACCGCTAAATTCATTATTTTGTTTTACTTTTTGCACACTTGGTAGTTATTGTGAATAAGAAATTATAATTTTTCCCAGGGAATTAAAGATCTCGGAGCTAGAGGAGTCATGAATTTTGTTCCAGGATGACTGGCTTCTCTAGGTACCTTCATGAGATCAAACCGAAAAAATATTTTAATGGACATCGTTTTTACATGGCCAGGTTTGCGGGCAGAGGATCTATCGACGTTTTTGGAAATGATCAACAATTTGCTCAAGAAAAACATGAAAATGCTGTTTAAAAAAATATAATAACGAAAAACAAACAAACAAAAAAACCCACATCTAAGAAGCCAGAGTGTTCCTTCGGATGTCAAAAGGCGCACTCTCCTGAGCTCACAGGCAGCCATGGGTGCTATTGTCTTGCAGTGTCACTTAATAGCGAGCTTAGACTTTTGTCATTTGGGTGGCTGTGCTTTTAAAAGCCCAGTGTAAAATGGCACACACACTGCATTTTTTTCCGAGCTGCAGGAGGCGGGGGCAGCGGGGGATAGTGCAGACTGTAGGGACACTGCCCTCCCAGCCAATCAGCGCTCGCCTGCTTGCCATCGCAAAGTTGTTAACCCCAGAGTCTTCTGGCTGTGCTGCCTCCTCTGCTTTTAATCTTCTGTGGATATTTCTCCGATTTCCCCCAAAGGCCCACAGATCCTGGGGGAAGCCACCCCATTCAGCCACCGATCATGGAAGAAAGTATTACTTTTTATTTACTAAACATTTTAAAGATGTTGGAAGACCCATATGCTGCCTGGAGGCTGTTGTTTCTAGGGACACAAGTATCCAGCCTATATTGTTACAATTTTTTTTCAAGAACTGCCGTCTTCTTTGCCTGCACTAATGGTAAGTTTGTAATTTTCACCATTTATGTCATTAAGTCTTTGAAGGAGTCACCAGCTAAAAAGGATTTTCATTGTGTTTCTTCTAACAAAACCAATCTTTGTATTTTTCTTTAGCTTTGATCTCTGCACATTCTACCTAATCTTGCCTGGTTAATTTTTACCAAAAGAAAAAAAAATAGTTTTTTTTCCATTGTTAAAGCTAAATGTTTATAATATAAATTATACTTTAATTACTGTGAACTACAGAGGAACTCAGATATTTCAAGATGGACTTGTTTTGTGCCAGTAATGTTGGCAATGCCAAATATGTGCATATCCTCTTTATAAAAATTATGTCTTACCTAATTTGTCCAGGACTCAATTATCAGCAGACAAACTATGGATATAGTTTTTAAAAAATGGACCTATTGTGGTTCTCTTGATGGATTACTTGGTTACAAACTATAGAAAAGCTGCCCTTGGTATAATGAAGGTGGAGGTTGACATAACCGGGTTTATATTAAGTTATGGCTGTTACTAAATAGTGGATCTTTTATTTGCTGATCAGATCTCAACTTGTAGTCTATGATATTCTTTCTTTGAAGCTCTTCCTTAGTTAATCTTTGCAGATCTATCTTGTTTTTTTCCAATAAGGTACATTTGGGAGACATTTTGTAATTTTTGGCATTTTTCTAATTTTTTTTCTTTTTGCACACGGTGGGAGATCTTTTTTGTTTTGCATTGATCTGTGTTGGTGGCGCTGTAGTGCTCCTCAACAATTTATGTCAGTTTCACTAAAAGAAAAAGGAAGAAAAAAAAAGAGGTGGGGCAAGATTTGATCTATTCTCTTCTCTCTTTATTATCTTAAAGAAAGTTCAATTTAGTCAGTGGAAATATTCAGTTGTGTTGTTTAAATGTTTTCTGTGAACTGTGCACTATGGGGAGAGCAGACATGTCGTCACAACCAGTCCAGGGAACATCAGGGACAGGCATGCAGTTTGCAGTTGTTGTATTTGATCTGATTTACTATCTCTATATCAGAGTTATTCAATAATAAGCTGTCGATTTATCCTCTTAGTAAAACTTTGTATTTTTCTTATATTATAAAATTATGTGTTAGTGTATTTTCAATTTAACAAAACATTTGAGTTTTAGTTCCTTCAACATTGTAAAAGTTGAATTTCATTTTGAACCAAGGGATTTCTTAAATAACTATTTTAAGTTTCTCCTGAGGTTTTTCTAACAGTCATATAATAATTCCTATATTATTGTTTGTTTCATTTTGAAATGATACTTCAACTGAATTTACAGATATCCTTGTTTAAAAAAGAACAAATATTTTTGAATAAGACAATTTTTTAAGAATATGTGCACAATTGCTTTTAGCTTTAAAATTTTTGATGTTCACATATCTAAATGCAGCATTATATCTTTTCCATCTTTGTTCTTATTGAGAGTTATCTGATTAGAGAATATGGGATTTAGGCCCCAAACCCTCCCAAGAACAAAAATGTGTTACGATCTGACATAGGTTTTACTGGTCTCTATAAACATTTTAGTTGTTTATGAAGATAGTAAGTGTGCCCTTAGTTCAAAAGGAAAGTGGGATGAATCAGTAACTGTACCCTAAAGCATATTAATCTTTTGCCACATAAAACAAAAATAACTGAAATAGTATGCTGGATCACTTTTCTGTAAGATTGAAGAGATTATTTCTTGAAAGAGTGAACATTTCAAGATAATAGCATTATTATTTAGTGGGTTTATCCACTTTGAAATACATAAATGCTCATTTCACTTTTTAATCATTTAACAGGTTGAAGTAAGAGGATGTGTGAAAATGGCTAAAAATAGTATTTCTGATTTTTGTGTCTCTATACTCTATACATCCCTTTCCTTGAACTTCAAAAATAATTATGCATTATGCCTACATTTTGTTTATACTATGCTATAAAAATGTGAAAATGTTCTCTGCAACATTTTAGCTCTTCATAAAATGTAAATGCCCCATCAAGATTGGTTTTTGACATTATAGATTATTTATAGAATGAAATACTGTAGGTGTAAATATATTATCTAACCCTCTGGTTATGCTGAAGAGTTTAGTTCTCTGAAGTTGATCTACCGAATAAAATATACTTTCCAACACATGTATTGCTAAAATAGTCTGCTATTCGGAATGACAATAATTTTTATTTTATTTAGTCTCTGAAAACTAAACATGTATACATAATGTAGCCCCCTTTTGAAAACAAACTGATGCTGTGAAGTCCATATGTAGCTATGCAATGCTCTTTGTTCTCCTACATCATCGACTATTACATCATTGATTATGAAGTAACTATTACAGTTAAATCTTCACTTTTAAAAATCCTTCATATATATTTATATGACAGATATTTTATATGTGACTCTTATATCACTATGTATTTAAAGAGGTTGAAATCTATGAAGCAAAAACAATTCACTATTTTATATTATTCTCCATTTTAAAATCCACCTTGAGCTTCATTTTAGCTCTTGATTTCTTGGACATTAATTTTTTGAATTGATAACATTTTTATAGAAATTTAGTTTATGAGCCTGGTGTGATTGTAATTAGAATTATACAATTTCTTTATTAAAAATCTTTATTAATTTAGTAGAGAACTAACTCAGTCTTTCATAGTAACAGTTTCTAGACCGTGGACAATAAAAAATTATTTTTTAAAAATCCCAAAATGTCATTTGAGTCAACAGTTGCACACTTACTTCTTTCTCGCACACCATTTTATCAGATAATAGCAAGTAGCAAAATTGACTATATTGTCATATCATTTTTCTCATCCTGCCCATCCCTCTGATAGAGGGAGGGGCTAATGAGTAGTGAAATAACCAAAAAAACAGGTTGCAGAAAGCAGTAAGAAATAATGCCAAAGACATGGAGGATCTGTAAATCAAATTCTAAACAATAAACCTCAGAAAAATGAACTTGAAATTATGGAGCTCAATCAATAACAAATAAAATTATATTAAGCCAATGTAATGAACCAATATAATTTCCTAATGTATTAACTTGTATTCATTAATATTGCTAAAGACTGAAGAAGTTTCAGGTTAGCCAAACTCTTTAGGTAATAGGTAATGGTAGGCTGAGGTAACAAAGAGAAGAAAGATTTAGAGGTGTTAAGATGACCAAACATAAAATGCTAAAAATATTAGCCAGGACTAATCTAATCTACCAGGACTAATCTAATCTACCTTGGCATAAACTTTTTTAAAAGAAGGAAATATAAATTAAAATTCTATCTTGTGAAACCAAGTGCAATATAGACTTGAAATTGTCTGTTTCCAGTTATACCCACTTCTCGTGCTATTTACCTCTGTTATTCCTAGATGTGTTACTACTTTCCATAAGACTAAACAAACACACTACCATCCTCAGCATCATTTTGCAAAGGAAAGCAAGAGGAAAATGATTCACAAAATGTGTGTTTGTGTTATGACTTTGTTTTTGATCTTTCCAAAATGGTTCTCAAATGGAGAATCTAAAAGAAAGTAAGCAGATGTCTAATTTTATAAATATCTTTGTGGAAAAGATAAAAGCAGATTTTATACTTGATTTGTTCAACATTTCTTTTTATTTTTATTCAAGGGTCTGTTTACTCTAGATCCTCCCCCATTGATTATGTGTCATTCTGGTAAGATGCTAGGATGTAATCTTGAGAAAAAGAGGCAAGGATTACTACTCTAATGGAGTCTATACTTCAGTGTGGTTCAGAGTTCTAAAGATACTTTAAATCAGCCGGGCGCGGTGGCTCACGCCTGTAATCCCAGCACTTTGGGAGGCCAAGGCGGGTGGATCACGAGGTCAAGAGATCGAGACCATCCTGGTCAAAATGGTAAAACCCTGTCTCTACTAAAAATACAAAAAAATTAGCAGGGCATGATGGCACACGCCTGTAATCCCAGCTACTCGGGAGGCTGAGGCAGGAGAATTGCCTGAACCCAGGAGGCGGAGGTTGCAGTGAGCCGAGATCGCGCCACTGCACTTCAGCCTGGGTAACCAGAGCAAAACTCCGTCTCAAAAAAAAAAAGATACTTTAAATCTAAGGTCTTAGATATGTGAGGTTCCCAAACAAATGCCAAATAATATTTTTGGAAAAAATATTTTTTAAATTTAGATCTGCTTAAATAGGATATGACAAGTATTCTTCCATTTAAGGACCATTATTCGAGCATCAGATACTTCCATATTGGGGTTGGGAGAGGATGTAGCCCTTAAGCTTTAGATATAACGCAAATAGATGCTACAGATGGTTGCCTAATACAGATTTCTATTGCAAAATGAGAAATGAAACTTTGACTTATTTGCTAGAGAAAAGAGATGAAGAGAGGATCACTTTGGTAGTAAGAGTTTTGGGCATGTCCCTATGAGATACATTTGATGAAAACATTTTTTAAAACATGGTGGAGCCTCATTTTGCACATTTTGCTGACAGTGTCATAAAATAAACATCAAGGTAAATATAAACTGAAGATGAAGCAAAGAAATACAATATTGAAAAATTATATTAGAACTAAAATTTTTATTTTAAAACCTGTAATAATTTTTGATGATATATATTACAGAAATTTTAAAAATAAAAACAGATATTTTAATTTATTAAGATAATATAAATAGACATTTCGTTAATGGTTAATTAGTTAAACATATCAGGTATGGAGCAGGAAAGTAAAACTGATATTTCTATGCAGATGAATTGGAGGAGAAGGAACTATTTAAGAATTCTCTATATGTGGTTTAAGATGATCTCAGGAATAAAGTTACCAGATAATTTTGTCATAGAGCTAATTAATCTATAGTAGCTAGATGTGTTATATTATTTGGTTTGCTTTTATACTAACACAGAACCCTACTGATAGTGGCATAAAAAATAAGGATATTTATTTTTTCAACTAAATGGGTAATCCAGTGGCAGGTGAGTGCTAGGTTTGGTTCCATAGCTCAACAATGTGATTAAGTCATTTGGTAGGTTCTAA